AATCGCGGAGGGAACGGCGCCGCGCGCGAGGGGCCTGGGCCGCCGCCATGGCGGCCCTTGCCCATGCGAACAGGACGCGGCAACGCGCGCGCGGGGCCAGGGAAGCGCGCGGCGGCGGCCAGCGAGCGCGCGGCAACGCTGGCCCGGTCTGCGCGGGGAACACAACGCGCGCAGTGGCAGGGCCGCGGCGCGCGACGACGCTGGCCACTTCTGCAGGAGAGCACGCCGCGCGCGCGGTGACTCCGCCGCCGCGCCCACAGCGGCATTGCCAATGCGAGCTGAGACGCAGCGCGCGACGGGCAGGCCGCCGCGCTCACGGCCCCCCTGCTCATTTTGAACGCATGGAGGAACCATGCGGCAGAGAGGGGGGGGGGTGGGGGGCGCGACCGCCGCGCGCGCGGCGCCCCTGGCCAATCGCGCGCGACAGGACACCGCGCGCGCAGGAGCGTCGCCGCCGCTCGCAATGGGGCAGGGCGGGGGGGGAAAGAAGAGGGGGCAAGGCAGCCGCTCGCGCGGCGGCCCTGGCCCATTCTGAACGGGCCAGCGCCGTGCGCGAGGGGGCGGAGAAGGTCGCCGCGGGGCAGGCGGACCTGCTCCTTCCCGAATGGAACACCCGAGCGCGCGAACGGGCATAGCCGCCGCCCGCGCGACAGCCCCAGCCAATTCGGGGTTTAAAAGCACGGCAGCGCGTCAGAAAGCTGCGCCGCCGCACTCGCGGTGGCTGTTGCCAGTTCTGCACGGCAGTGTAATCCAGTGCGCGCAAGGGCGGGGCCGCCGCTCGCGTGGCGGGCCCGGCCCGTGCTGCGTTGAAAAACATCGCAGGCGCGCAGCGGTCGCGCGCGCAGCGGCTCTGGCCGATGCGCGCGAAGAAAACGAAGCGCGGCAAGGGGGCAGAGCCGCCGCGCGCGGGGCGCCCGTGGCCAATCCTGAATGAATAGCTACGTCCGCAGGGGCACAGATTTGCCGCGCGCGCGTCGGCCCCGGCCCAATCTGCTTGAAAAGAACGCCACGCGCGCGGGCGCAAGGCCACCGCGCGCGCAGCGACCCGGGCCACCCCGGCTCAGGAGAACACAGCGCCCGAGTCAACGGGCCAGCTCTGCATGGGCACGGTCACGGGGGCGTCATGACCGAGCAGGCACGGGGGCCGCGCGCGTCGGCCCTGGCGCGCCCTGCGCGGGACAGCGCGCGCGGCGGCCCCGGCCCTCTCTGCGCGAACAAACTGGCACCGAGGGGCGGGGCCACAGCGCGCGAGGGGGCAGGGCGCGGCTCGAAGCGGGGGGGCGCCCCGCAAGTGAGCAGCGCCATGCGCGAGGGGGCAGGAACGCGGCGCGCGGCGACAGCTGCAGCATCATATCATGTTGAACACTAACAGCGCAAACGCCATGCGCGAAGCCGCGGGGCCGCCGAACGCGCGGCGCCCCCTCGGCCACCTTGAATAAGACAACTCCGCGCGCGCATGCGGCCCCTGCGAGCTGAGACGCAGCGCGCGACGGGCAGGCCGCCGCGCTCACGGCCCCCCTGCTCATTTTGAACGCATGGAGGAACCGTGCGGCAGAGAGGGGGGGGGGGGGGGGCGCGACCGCCGCGCGCACGGCCCCCTGGCCAATCGCGCGCGACAGGACACCGCGCGCGCAGGAGCGTCGCCGCCGCTCGCAATGGGGCAGGGCGGGGGGGAAAGAAGAGGGGGCAAGGCGGCCGCTCGCGCGGCGGCCCTGGCCCATTCTGAACGGGCCAGCGCCATGCGCGAGGGGGCGGAGAAGGTCGCCGCGGGGCCGGCGGACCGCTCCTTCCCGAATGGAACGCCCGAGCGCGCGAACGGGCATAGCCGCCGCCCGCGCGACAGCCCCAGCCAATTCTGGGTTTAAAAGCACGGCAGCGCGTCAGAAAGCTGCGCCGCCGCGCTCGCGGTGGCTCTTGCCAGTTCTGCGCGGCAATGCAATCCAGAATAAAACAAGCAACAAATATCTCCAGAAAATAACAAACAACTCCATCCAAAAAAAAAAAAGAGAAACAAATGCGCGCAAGGGCGGGGGGGGGCCGCCGCTCGCGTGGCGGGCCGTCCCTTGCTGCGTTGAATCTTCGAGGATAGCGCGCAGCGGTCGCGCGCGCAGCGGCTCTGGCCGATGCGCGCGAAGAAAACGAAGCGCGGCAAGGGGGCAGAGCCGCCGCGCGCGGGGCGCCCGTGGCCAATTCTGAATGAATAGCTACGTCCGCAGGGGCGCAGATTTGCCGCGCGCGCGTCGGCCCCGGCCCAATCTGCTTGAAAAGAACGCCACGCGCGCGGGCGCAAGGCCACCGCGCGCGCAGCGACCCGGGCCACCCCGGCTCAGGAGAACACAGCGCCCGAGTCAACGGGCCAGCTCTGCATGGGCACGGTCACGGGGGCGTCATGACCGAGCAGGCACGGGGGCCGCGCGCGTCGGCCCTGGCGCGCCCTGCGCGGGACAGCGCGCGCGGCGGCCCCGGCCCTCTCTGCGCGAACAAACTGGCACCGAGGGGCGGGGCCACAGCGCGCGAGGGGGCAGGGCGCGGCTCGAAGCGGGGGGGCGCCCCGCAAGTGAGCAGCGTCATGCGCGAGGGGGCAGGAACGCGGCGCGCGGCGACAGCTGCAGCATCATATCATGTTGAACACTAACAGCGCAAACGCCATGCGCGAAGCCGCGGGGCCGCCGAACGCGCGGCGCCCCCTCGGCCATCTTGAATAAGACAACTCCGCGCGCGCATGCGGCCCCTTCGACATTCTGACCGCGAAGAAAAAAAACGCGCGCGACGGCAGAAGCTACTGCGCCCGCGGCGGCCATTGCGCGAAGCGCGGGGGTCTCTGCTGCGCGCGGCGGCCCTGGTCACAAATGAACTGACGAGCGCTGCCCGGGGGGGGCAGGGCCGCTGCGCGCGCGGCGGCCTTGACCGACTCTGCAGATGCAATGCCGTGCGCAGTGGGGAGAGGCGGCGAGGGCCGCCGCGCGCGCGGCAACCTCAGCCTGGACCCGCCGGAGAGCCGCGGGGCGCGGGGCAGGGCCACCACCGCGCGCAGTGCCGCCCTGGCCCAGGCTCCGCCCGAAGAATAAATCGCGCGCGGGGACAGGGCCGCCGCTCGCGCGGCGACCTTGGCCCATTCTGCATTGAATCGCAGAGCGCGCGACGGGGGGCGGGGCGGCCTCCCCCGCGGCGGCCCCGGCGCCACTCAGCGAGGCGCGCGCGAAGGGGCACCGCCGCGCCTCGCATCGGCCCTGCCCCATGGAAGGGCGCCGCGCGCGAGGCGCAAAACCAGCGCGCGCGCGGCTGCCCAAGCTCATCCTGCGTCGGAAGACGCTGAGCGGGAGTGGCCCCATCGGGAGCTCCACCTGAGGCCTCAATGGCAACGTTCCCACGCGTCCCCGCCGCCCGTTGCGGCGCGCCCCCCGCGCGCTTTGCGGCCCCATAGGGGGCGCCACCGAAGACGATGTCCACAATTGCGGCACTCACATCTGCGAATGGCTGGGCCCTTCGCCAAGCGAATTTTCCAGCGAGCGGCAACGGCCGGACCCCACGGGCCCCCAGAAGTGCCCCCGCAGACGTCGCCGCTGATCTCCGAGGGAGCCACCGGCGCCCGCGCGCGAAGCCGCCCAGCGGCGCCCCAAAACGCCCCCCACCCACCCACCCAGGCCCTGCACGCAGCCCGTTACAGCGGTCGCCCGACGCCGCAAAG